TGACCCACCAAGAAGCTGACTTGTACGGATTAAACTGACCCGGGTAAGGGCTTTAATATATGTAAAATTTATATTTATATTTACATTAACTTAATAAATAACTTTCAGTTCCCGTGGGTACTAGGAAAAAAACACTAGCTAGTTTTTATTTCAATTTTACATGCTTGTAGAATTAAAATAAAAAAAATTACCGTAAACTGCCATATAAAAGACCCGGGTCTCTAACATTTCCCCCAAAAAATTAATTAGTAAAAAAAAAAGTAAAAAATGAAGGTGGGTTTGATATATGGGGGTCTTGTATATGGTAGTTTACGGTAATATTAATCAGATAGTCGTTAGAAGATATAAAAAATTATCAAGAAACAAGAATTATCACATGTTTCTACCATGACAATTTTGTTGCGGCAGCTATGGTTAATAACATTCCCTTAGCCATTCTGTAACATTATTTCAGAATGGCTAAGCGCATAATATTATAAATATAATGTCAAACAATAATAATACGTATTTCAATTTAAAAATTAGAACATGTTAATTATTGAATTTTAGCACCATATATAAATTTTTAATCAAAATTTTTTACATCGTAACTTACGTACGTACGTAACTTTCAAACTGTAATTTAGGTTTAGGGACTGTTTAGGGTTAACGTTAGGCTAAGTTAGGGTTAGCAGGTTTATAAGCAAAATCATCCTCCCGACATTTTTTGTTAGCGTAATTTAACTTTTTTTTCTTCGTTGAGCTAGTTCGGATTGGTCAAAAACTGTCATTTGATTGGCCGAATACACCATTCTAGTTCGCCTTGCCTCCCTTGAAGAAATCCCATATTTTGATATATCCCCCTATGTATTATCAATATATACATCATTTAATATAATAAAAAAACCAATTTTTTTTTATTATACTTAGTTGCAACATACTGTTTTACATAAATACTATATATAATTGTAAACATGACAATAATTATCAATATTAGTCAAAAAAAGTAATTCTATCCTTTTGTATCTTAACCGCAATAAATATCTTATTATCAATCAACACAAGTCTAATTTGATTGTGATGCAGCTTGACTGCCAGGAATTGCAAGTTTTGAAGGAGTCGTCCTAGTATAAGTAAGTTTACTTATACGAGATGGAGGAGTGATCATTGATGTCCGATTGCTTGACTTTGATGAAATTCTAGTTGGAGAAGTAATGGGAGGTATTGGAGATGTCCCTCTGCCAGGCGAAGAACCGTAAGAAACAGAACTTGTTAAAGAAGTAAGTGAATCCGTTTCTGATGCATTTGTAGGGGATTCTGGAGGAGTAAATATAATATATTCGTCGTGAGAGGATAGGCTATCTGAACTCTGACGACTACCAATGCGAGTAATTGTAGAACCTCTCATAACAGACGGTGGTCTAATACCAGAAGTGGTGGCATTTGAATCAAATGTGGAACGATCGTGATCATTAACAATCTGAGATTGGTGTCGAATTTTTTTAATGGTATTTTGTTTAGGTGTTTCAGTGGTATTTCCGCCAAGAGATCGTACGGATGTTGCAGAACCTGGAGGTTTCATCAAACTATTTCTATTTGTCGTCCGTGATAAACCAGTTGAACTAGACGAAGGTGATTGCAATTGTGAAACAGGACGTGCTGTTGATACATTTTTTTCTGTATTATTATTACGACCACGATTCGGAATACCCGAACTTATACTTGAAATTTTGGGTGTGCCAATGTTCGAACCAGCTTTATTTAGTGGTCGCACACCAGTGGTTGAAGCGTTTGTAGCAGATGATTCTGCTGAGCTATTGCTTATACGACTTATAGATCTTGGACGAGTACCGCCTCCTGTTATAGTCTGTGACATAGGACTATATATGCGAACTCCACGAGTCGGAGAGGCAATCCGTGAAGGTGATACTGCATCCACTGACGAAGTAGTGCTCTCTTCAGTAGAACTGTTACTGACAACGCTCAATGATCTTTGTCGCCCTGGGGATGGGATTGATGTATGGGGAGAATCAACCCTACCAGGGAGAGACATTCTTGAAGGCGATGTAACATGAACACCTGTTCGACTAGGTGCACGAAGTCCTGATGTGTTTGACGGTTTCCGTATTCCTGAGGTTCCAGATTTTGCACTTCCTGCCGAACGAACTGAAGTATATGATCCGTTTGACATTGTCTCATATTCATCTGGATCCGCAACTGATGAGGCTCTAGATGAGGTAGGTGAGAGAGGAGACGGACCAAAGTGCGGACTGAATGCAGTCTTCGGTAATCCTGTAGGGATTCCAGACTTTCCTCCCGAAAGTGTTGGATATGGTGAAGGCACTGGAGAAGGGGATACAGGCTTCAAAATTGGAGTAATTTGTGTGTCTAACGACATGTCAATCTGATCTTCTTCGTCATCATTTTTTAACACCATCTAAATCATTCACAAATATATGTATATTTTATTATTATTATTGTTACAATATCAAATTTAACATATAATATTAATATATCTTACATCAAATCCACCGGGGTTAGAAAACGTATTTAAAATATCGTCAGCTTCCTGCCCATCAATTTCGAGGGGTGTATCGCTTAAATTCTCCTCTTCTTCCGCGATCATGCTGACCGGTCTGTTAGAAATTGCTAAAGAAACCAAAGTTGGTGTACTTTGTGGATCTGGCGAGGGACGACGCAAAGGAGTTGTCGATGGAGATAAATGTCTTTCAAGCTAAAAAAATTTAAAAGTCATGGATTATAATAAGATTATAAAAATACATTTTTGATGAACTCACGAATATGTACCTCAGCTGGGTCAATTTTCCAGAAGTTGTCATCACCATCGTCTAGACCATCATCATTCAATTGCATCGCATTAGAATCTAAATCACTACCTCCAGCTATGAGCGCATCTAAATCCACTGAACCATCTGTATCTGAATCAGCAGAAGAAGTTTTGTCTTTTGAATGTTTTATACGAGCAATTGTGCTGAACATAAAAATGTGAGGTTTGCATAATTGTTTATTATTATTATTTTTGGTTTAATTTTAATTTATTTATATATTTTTTATAACTTACATCTTTCCATCTGATTCTACGGAATTAATAACCACAGTAGGAGTCTCTTCGAATTTATCAACTGTAGTAGCTTTCTTTTGTGGCACCATAATAACTATATCATCATCAAGTTTCTGTCCGGCGGACTGGCGCTTTTTCAGTTTCTTCAAATTTTTTAACTCCTTTCTCTGAGACTCGCGATCTGCTGCTGCTTTTTGACGTCTTTCATCAGGGCTTAACTTGCTATCTATTTGATGATTAGAACTATCTGATAGCAAGTTTTCCGATTTTGATAAATTTGAATTTTCTTTCTTAATTTGCTCGCTAACAGATTAGAAAAAAATATAAAAGTTTTAAAAATAGGAAAATTATATCACCATCACATTAATGTTTTATGGATAAATCCCGAATTATAAATCTTAACCTCCTTTAGTATCATAATATATAATAACTACCTTTCTGTGAGTGTAACCATTAATTCATCTCCTGTATTATGTCTTGAAATTGATGATAAAGATGATTGGCTCTCCGTTTCTATGAAATCCGGATCTAATGCAAGATTATTTGTGTAAGAGTCTTTATGTATATATGGTTGTTTTTGAAGAAAAAATTCTTTAAGACTCTCTCGTTTCGTTTGTAATGCGGTATCATATTGTTTCTTTCCTTCGGTTAAATCGCTTATATTTTCCGCAAGTTCAGCTGGATGAACGGTCTTATCAGAGGAAGCAACATCATTCGAAGTCGAATTTTCTAGAGGGATAAGTATCGAATTATCGTCGTCTGGAAGTGCCGATGATTGCTGCTGGATATCTGTATTTAAAACGGTGACAGAGGTCTGAATCTGAACAGTACTAATATCGGGATTATTCTGTGTATTCCCGTCTGACGATAAATTAATATCACTGTTGTTGTTCAGTGTAATATTATGTGTATCTTGATGCGCCTCTTGCGTCTCTTGTTTATGGGTAGGAAATGACGGCTCTTCGATGTGAGAGTCAATGTTAGATGTGTTTTCAGGTAAAATAGGTGTAGGTGGTTCATTTTGCTTATTCTTTTTTGCATTTTCTTCTTCTAGCTTTCGTACAAGTAATAACTCACGCATTGTTCGTTCTGGGAAATCAAAAATAAGAAATGTTTGTTTCGGACTTTGTGTTCAACAGTAAGTTAAAACTTACATACCAAAAAAGGATCCTATAGACACTAAATGTTATTATGATGTTTGTCTTTAGTAGTAGTAATGGGAGGATTAACTCAGGTCGTAAACTCTTATATCAAATTGTGAAAGAT